GCAAGAGGGTTCTCCCGTGCATTTTGAAGTTGTTCCCTAAGCATCGATGTTAGTGACCTTGGCCAATTTGGAGAGGCGAGGGTAGTCATACTCAATAGCTGCTTTCTGAACAGCATCTGCGCCATATTTGCCCTGTCCTACAAACTGCTCTGGAGGCTTGTGATAAACCGAAGCCAGCGTTGAGAGCTCGCCAAGAAGTTGTTCGAGAAGGTTGGGAGGTAGAGAATGGATGGTGGTAACAATTGGGGGCTTCTCAGAAAGAACGACATTTTTGGGGGCGTTTGGATCATTCGTATTAGAAAGCAGCCGCCAGTAAACATACGCTCGGTCTCGGATATCAGGGTTATCATTCTCTTCAGTTGCTGCCTTCAAAACCTTTTGTACCAAACCTTGAGCCTTGTCAGGACGTTTGAGGAATAATTTGACCACTGCTGTCAAGATTTGCAACTGTGTCTGTATAGAGAATTAGTCACTCAAAACTCTTAACATAGCATAGAAAAGGGGTTATTTTGGGATATTACCTGAGTGAATTCTTCATTAAAGCCGTCTACGAAGCCGGCCAGGATATCACCAGCGTTACTGATTTTCTCAGCATACTCTCCCACAATCCATATCAACGCACCCCTGGCATCTGGCTCGTCAAGTTCATCGATGCACTGGCAAAGGGTAGGGATAATTCCTTCATATCCGGGATATTTTCGGAATATATCTTTGATCACTACGATGGCCTCCTGGACCACGTAATTCACCTTGGTGTTGATTAAATCTAGAAGGGTAGCCACACATTTCTCTGCAGTTAGCTCAATTTTGATAGCCGTTTGTCCAATTGCCCTGACTGCACGGCGCACAAAGTCCATGTCAACGTCTAGAGCATACTCCTTTAACTCGGCAAGGAGCTGATCCACGTTTCTGTCGTTGGCAATTCGAACCATTATCTCTAGTTTTTGAAACTTAAGGTAGGGTGGGTCGTTATATTTGCAAAAGAATACCCTAAGCTCCTTGTCTAGAATATTTGGTTGGCTTTGCAAGAGGAGGTCGATATTCCTCAGAGCAACGTACTGTACTTCTGGAGCCGAGGAGACAAGTGTAACTAACATATGTGAGTAAAAAGAACCTCACACTCAGCATGCATCGTAAGTTGTTGGTACATACCTAGGGGAGGGGCCATTTTCTTAAGATAAGACTTGGCCATATCTGGGTTTATGTACTTCATGTGTAAAAAGACAACTTTGACCGCAGCGAGGACAACACTGGCATTTATATGTTGGAATTGAGGCACTACTCGTTCACATATATTCTCGGATTCCTTCTGGTCTTTGGGAGTGTAGTTGGCAAGATTCGTGAGAACTGAGACTCTTCCCCATTCGGTACACTCGTTAAGGGCCATGAGCATCTTTCGGAGTGTGTTTGGAGTAATCTGCAGAGCCTTGGTTTCCGGCGAAGTTTCGCTGATTTCTGCGAGGGCAGTCACCGAATTTGCAACTACCATGGGGTTTGGGTCTCCGATCATTTCTTGGAGCGCCTCGAGAAAACCGTTCTCAAGGCAGAGAGTGGGGTTGAGATCAAACAGTTTTGCAACGCATATGGCGGCAGTCTTTCGAACGTAAGGAGACTCATCTCGTAATGTTTTGCGCAACGGTTCTTCCATATAGTCTACAATTTTCTCCACTCTGATGCAACCCATTGTCCGTATCGCAAGAGCTCGAATTAAGGGATTTGGATCCTCTGTGTCTTGGACAAACGTATTGACGGCGAGAATGCAAAGGTCGGGGTGTGATTTGGCATAGTTCCTGTGCTGATAGTTAAATCAAACTGCAACCGCTACAATTCACTGGGACGATAGGTGGGGGAGAGGGTGCGAAGAATTTCCCTTACATCAGATAGAGATAGACGAGCTTCTTCTGGTCGAGATCCGCGGTCGCTATATTCTTGAGGACATCAGGGAAAAGGGAAGACACATCTTTACCCAACGTCATGGCCATGATCGTTTTTTGAATCGATTCCTTTCTGAAGACAATGTGAGCACAGCTCTAGGATCAATTGCAACAGCCGCGGATTTACCTCTCGTATGCATATTGCGATCTGTAATTGGAAGGTCAGCAGTTGAAACCGCGTGTGATTTGGGGGATTCCATATCACCATACACTAATCCAGCCCTCAGCTCAAACGTCTCGCCCTTCCGCGGAGCCGTAAAGGCCCCCCTTATCCTGTTAACAGCCATTGCCGCGAGCAAGCATCGGTAACGCTGCGGTTAAGCCAGGCGGCTTTTGGTGGAGGGGCTTTTCAGCGGGCCGGCGGTGGGATAGCAGTTGAGCTGGCTTTAGCCTGGCGGATAGAGGACCGTAGAGAGAGAAACGGGTGTGGTTTGGCGGCAAGGAAGATGCTGTTCCGCTAGGTAGAAGAGAGCGAGGGTCAACGTGATGACGTGCCAAACTGATGGCCTTTTGATGCTCCAAAACACTTCCCGTTTTGTGCCCACGCCGGACGGAATATCAGCTTAATTAAACTAACTGCCTAGTTAAGTTAACTAGCAAGTTAGTTAGTTAGGCGTTATCCTGCTCGCAACGCAGTGTCTTTGATCAAACCGGCCACGAAGAAGTGTACTGCCTCCGCAACTAGGAGACGTCCTCGCCCGCACCGTAGGATATTCAATGCCTCTGTTGTCTTCAATATTTCTTGTTCTTGACCTCTGGGGGCGAGTTGCAAGTACTTAGTTTAGGTATTCACGTGACTGCTGACTAAATATCTCTCTAGCTGGAGCCCCGGAACAGCCTCGATGCAACGACTCGACGACGCAACGACGCAGCGACGCAAAGCAATCCTGGGCTGTTCCCGCCGTCGTCGCTCTTGGTCGCAGTAGAGCCTGTTGCTATGGTACAAAGCCCCCGTTAATAGGAGTCTGGATGGCTAGTTTTAACGTAGGAATAGGCCAATCTACCTAACCTTCGAAGACTCTTCGTCGAGGCGCGCACCGAAGCAGAAGAAAATGAATACTCCAGGAATGCTGTAAGAGAGGCACACTATCCACCAACATTTAACAGATTCCATACTAATAGCAAGATAGTTCTATAATCTCGTGCTCTTTATATCGTCAGTTGCCGTATTTAGCCTCGTTGCACAGCGAATGAGTGGTGGAATGGTATCGAAATGAAGACACCAACGGACAAGCCATTGAAGTAGCTATCTTCATCCATAAGAACTACTAGGTTACCTCTGCATCCGGTTACGAACATATATGCATTACGGCTTCGTTACAACGAGACCATCGGATACTACACTACACTACACTATACTATACAGCATAACGGGTATATTAATCAGACTCCGAGTCCTGGTCATCTTGCCCAAGGAAGTCAAACTGCTTGAAACTCTTAGCAATCCGTCTACTTGACCGGCCAGTCTTGGAAGACTCCTCTTCCTCATCGATATTGGCTCCCCACTTCTTTGCGCCTTCTTGAGCAGCCTCCAGATCGGCCCTCAATTCTCTGTCTTCCCGGATACGGTTGGCCTTTTCGATCGAATATCTCCCATCCATACCTGCATCCTTGAGCATGGACTTTAAATGACGGATTTTCTCTTTGGGTGTACTGCATCCCATGAGTTCGCGGCCCCAAACCTTCCGTATTCCACATTTAACCAACCAGTCTTGCAGTCGCTTTATTTCTGCCTGATCTGGGTCTTCTGGTACAGTTTCCTTCCGTGTCTTCCCCGACTTGGTCTTCTTGCCTTTACCTAGCTCAGTGCTCCGGGCGGTTGACTTTCCCTTTTTGGGTTTTGGTTCTTCGTCGATGAGCACTGACATTTCGCTCTCCGAATCTCCTTCTGCGTCCGCAGCTTTGGTTGCCTTAGATGTAGCTTTCGGCTGACAAGTTACACTCTTATCACCATCGCTCTGATCTGAATTGTCTTCCTCTGATTCAGCGTCGACTTTGGTGACATTTTTATTTCGAGACACTTTCATTGGTGGCGCTTTTGATTTCTTATTGCTAATTGGCATGGGGTCACGCTCCTCGGAAGACATACTGTTACTATCTTTCTCAGACTGCACTGAAGTTGCCTTCTTGCGTTTCTTGACAGGCTTTGAAGCCTTTTGTGTTTCAGGCGAGGGTCGCTTCTTCGATCGGGGCTTTGTCGGCGCTGCAGTAGACTTCGGCGGTGGATTCTCCTGTATTTCCTAGCACCAATTTTAATACTTGCACACGCATACTTAGGTATAAATATGCAGGCGGCTTCCTATTAAGAACAGAGGAAATCGAGAGTGTACGTACCACCTCATCCTTTATGATCTCGTCACTTTTCTGTTTCCATTCCGCATGGGCTTTGAGGACACCTTGCTCCAGTCCCAGATTTTTCTCTGTTGCCAATCGCACGCGTTTCACAGTAAGCTCATCAAGGTTTCCAGACTTGTATATCTTTGCAACTGTAGCCCTCAGCCCTTGCTCTATTGCTTCCGCGCTTGGAAGGCCTGAAGAGGACCGCGTCTCGAATCCTGGGTCTGACATCCTGGAAAGCAGTAAAACTGGGCAAAAAAACGCGTTTCCGTCAAACTAGGCTCTCGTTTTCCGCAAAAATGGAACAACCGACTGCTTTGTCCCCGAATATAGAGACTGTGAAAAGATAATGGGGAGTGGATGAAAATTGATCGCGACTTGGAGATTGAAGACAACCAGCTCGGCGCGAGATGATGGATACAGATGAACTTCATGCAAAGGCAACATTCATAAAAACAAGTCGCCGTAGCAAAACAAACAGGCAGTTGAATGACAGTTAAACGAATGGCTTAGGTAGCTGGCAGGTTAGTTAGCTCGCTGGACGGTTATTGATATCTCGACCTTGCGAGGCTGCATGAGGGCGGCGATAAGAGCGGCGATAAGAAACTGGCCTGCTTAGAAATATACTCGATGGATTCAGACATCCGACGCTCATCTGAGATAGAAATATAGGAACATATAACGGCGACGTTATTGGCCTGACACGGCTATTTGCTACTATTTTCAACCATGGCGGACATACTCAAAGAGCAATTGAGTGCTATTAAGCAGAGAAATGCGCCCACTAGGGCACCAGCAGAAAAGAATGAAGAAGAAAAGACCCAGAAGCTACCAAAGGGTGTTGTTCTGGATAAGGACGGCAAGCCGTGAGCACTGATCTTTCCATGTAGTCAGAATTTGAGAAATACAACTAACGGTTTATGTTATGAGAGCAGTTGCCGAACCTGCACCTCCCTAGCAGACTGGAGGGCGTTGACGAAGATGAAAGCCGGCCTTCCACCTAATGCATCGCCCCCTTCTTCCAATGCCTCCTCTACTACAAGTGCTACACCCGCAACTCTCAGTACTTCAAGCACGAGTTCCACATCTGAGATACCCAATGATTGTCCGGCAGACGTTGAAGCGTTAGGTAGAAGCACCTGGACCCTCCTCCATACCATGGCAGCGACATATCCTACTACTGCATCACCTCAGCAGCAAAGCGAAATGAACCAGTTTATGACCCTTTTTTCAAAGCTATATCCTTGCTGGGTATGCGCCGATGACCTGCGAACGTGGATGAATCATCCAAGCGGCGCTAACAAGCCAAAACTCTCTGGACGTGCGGAGTTCGGCAATTGGATGTGTCTTGCTCACAATGAAGTAAATCGGAAGTTAGGGAAGAAGGAGTTCGATTGCTCTAAATGGGAAGAGAGATGGAGAACGGGGTGGAAGGATGGGAGATGTGATTGATTATATTACCCGAGGTATAGGGTTTTATGGAGCTTCAAGATCTTTGGTTAGTGATATGCAGACGATACCTAAGAGGCTGGCATCTCTTACGCCAATGCTAGGTTTAAGCGAAGATAGAGCATAGTTCACATCATTATTTGCTATAAAGATGTACCATAGTGATATATATAACTACTAAAATCCTGTATTTTTATATGTCCATACAAGTAGTATCTATGTTTTAGTTCTAGTCCTAGTTCCAAATGTCGAGTGAGAAACAGTAAGTATATTGCAAATTCTTCTCCCGGATTACAGTCGAATAACCAGATATATCTTGGTATAAGTACGCAAATAGAAGCAAAGTTGACTACTTGCATAAACACTATTATCTTAAGGGTCGTAGAACAAGGGTTTTTTTCTAAAAATAAAATAAAATAAAATAAATAGTGTAAAAATAAAAATATAGGTATAGCAAAAGTGAACAAAACTTTCTCAAATTTGACCAGGTGGTTCTAACTAAATAGGCCTTGCCTGGAAATGTATAAAACGTCATAGTAATTCCCCTCCCATCGTAAAATCAGTCAGTCATGGAATAAGACAAGACAGGAAAAGAAGGATGTAGTCTAGTGCTGTCCTGGAACAAATAATCTCAAACCACTTGCAGGAGCGCCAACTGCAGAAACTTTACAAACTGTGCAAACAGAGCCCTTGTACTGTTCATGATACTTGGTACCAGTATAGGGGCACGACACGCTAGGAGAGCCGCCATAGATCGGAGTATGCGAAGCAGCACAGATATCAAATTCAGCAAATTGGTCAAATTCAATCTCAATAGCATCTTGGGGATTTCTTTCACACTGAGCCTTTATCTTCTTTGCCTGTTTGGAAGTCAGTAAAAGGTAGAGTGATGGGATAAAGAATGGGCTTACCTGATCCAGCAGTTTGGCCGAACCACCGTTTGCAATCATCCTGTTGGCGAAACTGAGGGCTGAGGAAAAATTCTGGTTAGTATAAGCAAATTTCATGGCGGCCATGAGCGCCAGCTGCCGATGAGCCACTTCGAGCTTTGGAATGGTAAAGTAGGCAGAGAGTTCAAGGCTCCTCTTAAGGGTTTCGGGAGTGTCTGTTGGTAAAGCTCGTCGTTCGAGCTCCATCGACATGGCTAGTATATACTCCCTCGCTGTGGAGATGATTTTCTTGGCCTCAGCCACATGCGCCTCTGACGAGACCGTGTTAACAAGAATGGAGTGTAGAATTCGCTGGAAAATCACGATTCCATCCTGAAGCTTGTTCGATCGCATTGCAGCATAGCCCTCTTGCAGATCAACACTGGCAATAGTCTCCAGACTTCGGGGGATAACTGGAAGCAGCCTGCGTGTATCGGTCTCGTCGACAGTACGGCGTACATAGTTTATTATTGGAGGAAGAGCGGGTGTTGCTGGAAGGTAAGTCTTCGAAGCTTGGTAGATCTCGAGGAAGCGTGGTTTCAAAGGTTCAAAGTTCACAGCACCAACTTGACGATTCAAGAGCTGCATTGCTGACTCGAAAGATCCGGCAGCAACATGGTCAGCGGCAAGTGGTGAGTTGCGGGACCACAATTCAGCTTCACTGCTGGATGGGCCGCTTTCGACATTTTCGGTGCCGAGAAGGTCAGCTTCTTCTTCAATTTGGATATCATCCCCCATGTCCCACCCAGCAACGTCTTCCTCCTCTTGCTCATCACCGAGCCCAGTCTCGACACCACCGTTCTCGCGTTCACCATCTTGGTCTTCGAAACCGTTGACACCTTCATCATCAGCTCCACCAACTTCACCCAAGAGTGCCTTCTCAAAAGAGGAATGAGAAGGGGCTTTCACAGGCCAGTTGGATTTGAACGTTTGAACAACAACATTGGGAGCCGGTTTTGGTTCGCCAAGAGTTGGAAGGGTTATTTGGTCCTCAGAAATGCCGTTAGCTTCAAGAATAGACTGAGCCTCCTCCACAAACCCATGTGTTTTAGCTGTGAGGTACGCCAATGGCACTATGTAGCACCATAGTTAGTAGAGAATTGCTTTAAATATACAGCGTGAAACTTACAAAGATCAATTTCCTTGAACATCTGTATTCGAGCTTCAACATCGTCAAGATAGAGTGCGTTCTGGAATTGCGAGGTGAAATCGCCTCTATGCTGGGCAATTTTAGCCATTCGAGAGAGCTTCTCCTGATCACCCGTGGCGAGGTAGAGGAATGACAGTTTATCAAAATTCCTTTGTCTCTGGTATGTCATTTCCACAGTCTGATTGTTACCATGTGCTAGAGCTTCGGTTCCGAGTCGGGCCCAGAGCTTGGGGCGGTCAAGGGTTTTCGCCATTTCTATTGCAACATCAATGTTGCCGCACTCTAAGGCAAGTTCAAATCTAGTCTGGGGGTCTTGAACGAATTGAAGGGCAATCTCAGGGTATCCTTTTTTTTGTAAGTACGAGATGATGCTTTGCCCAACAAGGCTAGATGTCTTGATGATTTGAAGCATCTCCTCATAATTTCTCTTCACCAAGGAAAGCTTGAAGCGATACTCCGTGGGATCAATGGCGAGAACAGTTGGTTTCGCAGTTCTATCCAAGCAGTATACCTTTCTAGCTTTAACACGGACTAAATATAAAGTCTGGTCCAAGGTGCACACAATACCATTGTCACTAGAAATATTTAGCATTGATATGAGATTAGTGGGATTATTCAATAACTCACCCATTGAGGAGGGAATACTTGACGTGGTTAAGAGTGGTATATAGGAGCACACCGCTATCATCCCAGCAAGCACTCTTGATTCGAATGGTTTCATGCAGGGTGCTGACATGTTCCAAGGATTTCGTGGCAATTGTGACATTGTGCTTGCTTAACAGAGCAACATAGAGGCCATCATTGGACCACACAACGTATTTCACACCACTGACGCTCAACTCTGCGAGTTGTTTCTTCTGTTGGATATCAAGGAGAACCACAGAGGTTGGCGTGAGGAGGAGGAGACAGCTAGTTCCGCCAAAGTGGATGTCTGTTGTGCCATGAGGAGCCTTGATCGTTTTCGTGGTAGAGTTGCTTAGATCTTTAATATCTATTTGCTGTGTGGACTGGGTGAAGACGGCAAATCTGTTGCGGGCGACGAACACTGCGGAATTTCCATGCCCGCGCTTCACATCAGTTGGTTCTACTGCTCCAGTTGAGTCTCGCGGGATGTGGATCAGTTCATAGGTGCCATTATCGGTGGGAGAGGTGACCAATATAGCACGCTCAGCTGGGTTGTATGAAAGTGTCCTAGCGGGTACCCAGGGGCTCCCGAGTTTCTTGAGAGATAGCATGGCCGGAGACTCAGTGTTTTTCGTAAAGTCATAAGAGCGAAGGTGCTTGTCCTTGGTTATGTAGAAAACTTGGTTCTGGTATAAAGCGGAGGCTGGACGCTCCCGCTCAAGTTTGAAAACCATGACACCAGTGTCATGTCCTGCAGCAAACAGATTAATTTCTGGGTGGGCTGCAATCATCCAGAAGCGGTCTGCATCCCGCTTGAATGACTGAACTGCAGTCCGCTTATTTAAATCCCAGACACGGATAGTTTTATCTTCACCAGCAGAGAGAATCAAGTCCTGATGTGGGTGGAAGATACAAGCAGACGCATTCTGAAAATGACCACGACAAGTATCCACCTCCCATGCCTTCGTTTCTAGAGCAAGTTAGTAGGAACTTTCTAGAGCCACTCAGTGTACCAAACATACCACTCATCCTCCACAGTTTTATAAGGCGATCATCGCCAGCAGAAACAATCAGGGGTAGAGTAGGGTGGAATGCAACCCAATTCACACCACGGTCATGGCCTTCTAAAACAAACTTAACAACCGCGTCGGTGTTTCCAAACATGTCTGCTTGAGCAGGGTTTGAGCGAGCCATCTGCTCTTCGAATGCCATTGTACTAGAAGGGGCAGAGTGCTTCTTTCGGAGCCCGGAGATATCCCAGACACGCACTGTCTGATCGAGGGAGGCTGAGACAACCAGGTCATCTTTTGGGTGGAATTGTGCGCACATAGTATAATGATTATGTCCGGTCATGGTACAAACTATGTATTCAGGTCAGTGTTGTCCTTTTGCAAGGGTTAAAGAGCGGTCTTACTCAAAGACCGGTTTTGCCAGTTCCAGATACGAATGGTCTGGTCGTCGGAGCTGGAGATAATCCATGGGAGCTCGTGATGAAAGAAGACCGTTCGAACATAATCTAGATGGCCATTAAGAGTAAACAAGCACCTCCTGCTCTGCAATGACCAGACCTTAATCTTATAATCATCACCTGCAGAGACGAACAAGGGCTGGGTTTTGTGGAAATCGACTCCTCGAACGGGGCCATCATGTTCTTCAAACCGGTCAATCAAAGTTCCCATGCGGTAATCCCACAATTGGATAGTTGACGAGTGAAGGGCGACTAGAAGCCATGGTCTGCTCAGGTCGGTTAGCATAGAGGTTCACACTCGGTATGGTGGGCCAGCGATTGCTTTCGTGCTGACCTTTTTGGGTGGAAGGCAAGGCCTTTGGCTCTAGAGGACTTCGACTCGAACTGCGGTAGCAAACAACAAAAATCAGCATGAGATAAATACAGGAAACTGGTTGAAATCAAGAGCATTGAGGTGTACCTTTGTGAGCACGTTTGGAGAGGCGGACTGCATTGTTATCGCGGGGAATTGGCCTAGGCCGCAGGAAGGAGAGAAACTCTAGGCGCCGACCAAGATACGGTATATTTAGTTGATCCGGAGCATCGATATCCAAGCCGTAGGAGCAGGCACGGCAGAAAGGCTTGTTGTAGTAGTAGATGACAAGCTTGCCTTTTGCTGTTGGTTGCTTTGCGTCTTTCTGTACGTGGACACTTTGTGGTTTGAGGCGGACTCTGCTTATGTAATTACAAGCGACAAGATCCTCGGCTCTTATTGGTTGCCGCATCTCCTTTTCATCAACCTCCACCAACGACGGCGGGACGATGCCTTGAGTTACAATTTGGTATCATGTTT